GCCCCTCCCCCCCCAACTAGTGCTCTCTCTCATCTGTCTGTCAAATAAAAAAATTTAAAATAAAAAATAAAAATATTCAGAATATATACCAAAACACAAGCTTAATTACAACAGCTCAAATGATCCAAATAATACCAAGGAAAATAATTTTTAATTAAACAAACATCTACATTGAATTTAATTATATATAGCTCTAAGTATCAAAAATGGCTGTGAACTGCACCTTAAAGTTGAATATGTTTGTCAGTGTATTAGCCAGCATTTGAAATTACTTACTCTCATCTCATTAGGATATTAGGCTTTTTAATAAGTGCCTAGCGCTTATTCACTTGGGAAAATATTCTAGCTGAATCTCTTCAATGTCTAAAAGAAAACAATATGGTGATAAAAGAAACTTTCACAGTTGAGTTTTAAACATGAATCTATGACATTAGATCTAAGCAGACAGGAAATCTGTCTTCTATTTTACCCTCTAAGATGCAAGGTGTTTAGTCACTATGAATTCATATAGCATGAGACCCAACAAGGCAAAGCTTTTCTAAGCAGATGCCTATGCTTAAAGCAGGCTGTGATGAGCTCTTCATAAAAGGGATCTTTTCTCCTACTGAGTGTTCGCAGCTTTAATTTCTACACCATTGGCCTCTGCTCATTTTGCTTTCTCTCAGAGCAACACCTCCTGTGCGCCCCTGGCATAAACAGCAGACCTCCCTACCAGTCAGAAGTTACTCAACCATGGCAACATTCAGGCCTCCTGCTTTGCAACTTTACTCTCTTCCCTCACTATACTTTTGTTTCTCCTCCTTGGGATGCAGTTTCCCATCCAACTATCAGGTAACACCTTTCCTAATGGAACCCAGCAGCCCAGGCTGCCCTCCCCTACAATGCTGGCACAGCTTTTCACTAAGTCTACATCACAGTCAAGTCAACCAATGACAAAAGTGTGTAAGATAAAAGCAGGAGGAAAAGTGCAACTTGTTTCTGCTTAGGATGTAGAAGGCTGGAAAGAACAATGCTCCAACACTTACACCACCACCACCACCACCAAAATGATGCAAGTTAATCTGAAAAACAACAACTTTTCTGGAACCCATGAGGGTTAACAGGACAACCAACTAACCTGAAATCTAAGGACAGACCAGTGTCTTCAAGAAAAGATGGGGCTGGAGCACTTGCTTACCTGGGGAAAACCCCAGCCATGATACAAGCCAGGTAAGAATTCAGCTAACATTTTTAACGAACTGCTAAAGGCCAAATGTGAACTAATTCAAAAGTACAGAACCCCTGGGAAGCATGGACACAAGAAGAATTCAGTCACTCACGGGCTCTTCTCCACAGACCTCTGGGAATCATGAGAAAGATTGCGATAGTAAAGATAAGAAACTTCAAAACAGCCTCTCTCAGAGTACAGGCCTGGGGGAAGCAAACAGCCGCCACTACTGGAGAGGCATGAAGCTGAAGGACGGCCCAGATTCTTCAACTCTGTCTCCTCCAGAGAATAAAAATCTTCATGTCCTGAGGGAAAAGCAGCAAACCCAGATGACCTTAGAGCACAAATACAGCCCCACTGTTGCTAGAGGGAAGGAAAAGAAAAGCCCTCTATCCTAGTAGAGACAAGAATATATGATGAGCCCAGGCTATCACAGGCCTCCTAAACCTGGGATAGAGAGCCCTATTCCCTAGACCCAGCATCACAAAGCCTGCCTAAGACTGAGGCTGACTCAGAACAACAGAAAATGCCCCTCTGACAAACACTGAATAACAAGGAACAGCAGTCTTTTGCTAATGGAGAGTCAATAGTGGAAAGAGATCTTTTCTGAGGCAAGGCGCAAAGGAAAGACCTATAGTTGAGGGTGGGATAAACATTGAAAAAAAAAAAAAAAACAGTCTCTGGCAAGTCAGCACCATCTTCAACATAAGTAGCTCTAGAGGAATCTGAAGCCTGTGGTGCACTGAAGAAAATAACAGCAACAGCAAAAGCCCAAGTCAATTCAACTCCTGGCTAGGCTAATTCTCCTGCTCCACTAAAAGCCTAGCAAAAACCAAGGTGGGCCCATGTGTAGGCACAATACTATTTACCTCAGTCTGTGCTATCCTAAACAAGATGTCCAACATGCAACAAAAAATAACAAGACATGCAAAAACCAAGAAAACAACCCACTGTCGGGAAACAAAGGAAACGATATAACTAGAGTAAGACAGACCCAGAGAGCGGAAGTATCAGGTAGGGAATTTAAGATAATATAACACATGCTAAAGGTTCTCACAGAAAAACTGCAAGACAACATGCAAAAACAGATGGGGAATTTCAGCAGAGATAGAAACTATAAGGAAGAATCAAATAGAAATGTTACAAACCAGGAATGCAAGCTGGTGCAGCCACTCTGGAGAACAGTATGGAGGTTCCTCAAAAAAGTTGAAAATAGAGCTACCCTACGACCCAGCAACTGCACTACTGGTTATTTACCCCAAAGATACAAATGTAGTAATCCAAAGAGGCACCTGCACCCCAATGTTTATAGCTGCAATGTCCACAATAGCGAAACTATGCAAAGAGCCCAGATGCCCATCAACAGATGAATGGATAAAGAAGATGTGGTAGATATATACAATGGAATATTATGCAGCCATCAAAAAAATGAAATCTTGCCATTTGCAACAACGTGATGGAACTAGAGGGGATTATGCTAAGCGAAATAAGTCAATCAGAGAAAGGCAATTATCATATGATCTCACTGATATGTGGAATTTAAGTAACAAGGAAGAAGATCATAAGGGAAGAGAGGAAAAAATGAAGACAAAGCCAGAGAGGGAGACAAACCGTAAGAGACTCCTAATCATAGGAAACAAACTGAGGGTTGCTGGAGTGGAGGCGGGTCAGGGGATGAGGACGCTGGGTGATGGACACTGGGGTGGCTATGTGTTGTGGTGAGCGCTGGGTGTTGTGTAAGACTGATGAATCACAGACCTGTCCCCTTGAAACAAATAATACATTATATGTTAATTTAAAAAATAAAAAATTAGGGAAAAAAAGAAATATTACAAACCAAAAACATGGTAACACAGATGAAGTAAGTTTACAACAAACAGGTCATTAACAAACTCAATAAAGACAAAGAAACAAATGGTAAACTTGAAAATGGATCAAAACTAAATGGACCAAACTAAAACACAAAGAGATAAAACACTTAAAAAATAAATAAAACAGAACACCAACCCAGAATGGTGAGAAATTTTCAAACGGTCTAACATACATACAATTGGAATTCTAGAAGAAATATAAAAAGAAAAGGGGGCAAAGAAAATATGTGAAAATATCCAAAATTGATGGCAGACATCAAACCAGAGATCCAACAAATGCAGAGAACATCAAAGAGAACAAATACCAAATAAAATAAATATACACATTATATAATAAAAATGCTGAAAACCCAGAAATAAAGTGAAAATCTTAAAGGTGGCCAACAGGGAAAAAAGATATATGGCACACAGCAGACCAAGGATACAAATAATAGAACTCTCCTCAGAAGCTATAGGAATGACAAGTCAATGGTGTGATATACTTAATGTGCTAAAAGAAATAAATAATGAAACAAAATTCCATACCCACTGAAAATATCTTTTGAAACCATAATAGAAACAATAGGTTTTTTTCAGGAAAACAAAAGCTAAAAGAATTCAATGCCAACAGACCTGCACTGCAAGATATGTTAAAGAAAATCCTTCAGGCAGAAGGAATATATCAAACAAAAAGATGAATCTCCAAAAAGAAATGAATAACACCAGAGTGGCATAAAGAAAGATGAAATTCATTTTTTTATTATTTTAATTGCTGTAAATAAACTATCAATGGCAAAAATAGTAGCCATCTATTGTGTGTTTACAGAATAGTAAAAGTAAAATGTATGACAATAACGGGAAGTACTGGATATATACTGTTTTAAGTAATTTCTACTACATATTAAGTGGCATATTTGAAGGTAACAGTACACTAATTAAAGATGTATATTGTAAACTTACAGCATGCGCACACAAAAAAATTTAGTAAGGGATATAAACTATAATGGAGATAAAATGTAATCATAAAAAATAATCCAAAAGAAGGCAAAAAAAAGAACCAAAAAGTACATAAAATCTAGCAAGATGATAGATTTAATCCACCTGTATCAATAATTATATTAAATATAAACGGTCTTACGAAACACTGTGAAGGACAGATTGTCAGAATGGATATGAAAGCAAGACCTAAGGATACTCTTAAGAAATCCACTTTAAATATAAAGAAATAGATAGGAAAACAGATGATAGGTAAATAGGTAATATGGAAAAAGATACAACATGCAAACACTAGTCAAAAGAAAGCTGAACTAACTATACTAATGTCAAGCAAGGTACACTTCAGAACCAGATACAGTATCAAGGATTAAAAAAAAAAAAAACTTTTAACAGGGGTGACAGGAAAAATATGACAGAACTGTTTAAATTTGTATTCCATCTGGGACTTCTTTCTGATCTACAATAAGATGTCTTTTTACACAAGACAAATGAAGAGAATAATGTCAATAGATAGATAACTTTTTTTCATGATCAAAACCAAACCAGATACTAAAAATAATAATAACATATCACACAAAATAGACTCCAACTTCAAAATGTCCAGGATTTCCTAGTATTAGCTAAATGTCCTCTTGGTAAAACAATACTTTTTTTTTTTAAATAAAAAGGTCTACTTACTCAAAGTTTATAAAGAGTGATAAAACGAAAACAAGAAAGAACTGTGGTCTTTGACAAAGAATCATAATTTATTCCACAAGTATCTGAATGTCAGTGACATACTCATCATTGCTCAGGCACTGACTCATCACTGCATAAGCACAGCTTAGTATCCAACGATGAGCAAACAAAATACCAGCAAAATGCTTTTTATTTTTATTTTTTTATTTTTTTGCAAAATGCTATTTTTAAAGATACAACACATTTCTGCTTTTTTATAGTGTATTTACCTCAAAGCCAAGTCTATCCTTTTCTTTCCAAAAACAAAAATGTGTTACTTTCTTATCCCAGAATTCATCAGGCTTCACTACACAAACAAGGGACACCTCAGCTGGAACAACATTCTATAAAATACAAAAAAAAAATTATAAATTATACATGTAAAATGAACAATTTATTAAAGTTATAAATTACTAGGTTTTCATGGTTGGGCTGAGAATTAAGAGACCTTTGGAAAAGAATTAAAATAATAAGAAATACTCCAAACTTCAAAACCATACATGGCAATAAAGAAATACTTGGAAAGACAAGTTGATTCAGTAAAGATTTCAAATATACAATGTAATATACGCAGTACATGTGAATTATTTTTGTGTTTTACTGAATCTCTCTAATAGGGATATATTCAGATTAAACTACAAGACAATTTTTAATTGGCCAACTATTACATTTGGTTTTTCTACTATATGAAAAAATTTTTTTCTAACACAATTATCTTGGAGAATTTCTTCAAATAATGTAAAATCAATTTTCTCACAAAATAAATTTCTTACTGGCCATTATACAAAGAAGCCCTGATTCTGCTTGGTTATTAACTTGAAGAAAAGGAAAAGCTTATCTCTGACAAATACAATTTCACATTTACTAGATATGGTTATTCATATTACCTTAAGAAGAATGGAAGTTAACATTTACTGAGTTAATAAAATATTCCATGTATATTTTACCAGCAAACCCCATACAGTCTAGCTTTAAATTAGATCTTAAACCTATCCATTTCTACCACCCACATTGCTAACATCCCCAAACTAGTCAGCTTTTTAAAATATCCTCTTAACAGGCCTCCCTTCTTTCTTCACATTTTCTCATGCTCACAGCAAAATTCAAACTCCTTACCAAGGCCTAGAAAGCCCTCCAAGCTCAGGCCCCCACTGACCCTCAGACCTCACCTCACACCCCTCCCCTCTCAGCTCACTCCCCTACCACAGCCATACTAAGCTTCAAGCTGTTCCTGGACTATAATAAGTCTGTTTCCACCTGAGGCTTATGCCCTTGATGTTTCCTCTGTGGGGAGTGTTTGTTGCCCTATACACCTAGGAAGAATGCTCCCTCCATTAAGATTCTACTCAAACATTCCCTTTTTAAAAGAGAGAACGTCCCTGACTACCCTATCTAAAGTAGCACCATCTGACTCAATCTCCTTTTACTACTGTATTTTTCTTCATAACATTTATCACTATCTGTTGTTACATTATTTAGTAATTTGCCTAGTTACTTACTGTCTGACTCCTTAAGTAGAACATTAGCTTCCCAATGGCAATTACCTTATCTATCATGTCACTCCTATATCTCCAGCTTATGACAGTGCCTGGCATATAGAAAACACTCCATAAATAACTGTTGAATAAATGAATTCACATTAACAACTAGATCTCATTCTCCCAATTTTACAGAAAAGCAAACCGAGTTTCAAAGTACTAAAGAAACTTGTCCAATATAGCAGAGTTGTTAACTGATGGTGCTAAAACAGAAACCAGGTCTGACTCTAAAGTTTTACCACACCATTTTAAACGTTCTACACCAGGAATAAGTGAATTCTTTCTGAAGGTGTAGATAATAAATATTAGGCTTTGCAGGATATGCAGTCTCTACCGCAACTACTTCAAGTCTGTCATTGCAGTATGAAAGCAGCTATAAAAAGTATAAATGAATGCACATAGTTGAGTTCCAATAAATCTTTATTTACAAACTAGGGGTCAAATACCATTCAAGACCATAAATGGCACAACTGAATACTAATAAATATGGTTATAATTAATTATTATTAATTAGGAGAAAACAGAAATCTTTCAATTTAAGCACAATTTTGGGCACGTAACAAATCTAGTGCCCCCCCGCAATGACTAGGCTATGAATAAGATAAATAAATTCAAAGGTATCAAAAGTTATCCTAGAGGCTGGGAAATTTAGGCTAGATTGAGGTTTACTTATATATTGACTTGTGGAAGGCTATTACTTCAAAATCACTGAATATTGAAGTTGTGAGAAACAAGAAAAGCCAAACCACTCATTTTAGAGAATATCAGTTATAAACAAAGCCACCACTAAGCTCTGGGATCCCAAATAACTGGTACTAGTACCTTTTAAAATAAAAGCAATGAATGATTTTTTATGTCAAAACTGACTAGGAGTAAACAAAAGGCCATTACAACTTCTGAAAAATTAACTATTAATAAATCCAAAAGTTGTTAAAATATCTATCAGAAAAAAAATCACAAGAGGGGATTAAATCATCCACTGACTGTTCTTCAAAACTGCCACTGATCAAAGGCCAGTTCATACAGCAAGTCCCAAACAAGTCATCTGTGACACAGTTGAATGACAGGATGAAAGGAAGAACACAAGGTCATAATTAATGGAGTTCTCACCTAATAGTTATTTTAACAACTTTTACCAAGAAGAGTTCATCTTCAGGGTTGGGATATAAAAGTGCTGGGAATACATCTGACAGAAAAAGTGATGGGATACCAATCTGCTCCCTTAAAAAACTGATATCCTTTCCAACCCAAAGGAGTGATTCTAATGATAAAGGTTTAGGCCACATATTTAAGAAGAGGTAATGGGTGGATAATTTGGGGACCACCTCCAAAACCCCCCACTGGTAAATATACCCTTTGTAAAAGATAAAGCCAAGACTTGGGGGTTAGGCCATGTTAAGTTCCAACTGCAGCTCTTTCCCATGTTCATTACAACAACCTGGTTAAGTTCATTTAAAATCTTTGAGCCTCGGGGAGCCTGGGTGGCTCAGTCGGTTAAGCATCTGCCTTCGGCTTAGGTCATCATCTCAGGGTCCTGGGATCCAGCCCTGCATCAGGCTCCCTGCTCAGTGGGGAGTCTACTTCTCTCTCTCTCAAATAAAAATCTTTTTTAAAAATTAATTAATTAATTAAATCTCTGAGCCTCAGCTGATCTTTTGGGATAATACAACCTGCTTCCCAAGTTTGTCAGGATAAAATTAAATGAGATTAATTTATAGGAAGTTTAGTACACTACCCGAACCATAGTTCCTATCCCACAAATCCCTTTTTCCTAATAATCCCCCCAAAAAATAAAACATTAAGAATCATTCTTCTTGGGGCACCTAGGTGGCTCAGTGATTAAGTGTCTGCCTTCTGCTCAGGTCATGATCCCAGGGTCCTGGGATCGAGCCCCAGATCGGGCTCCCTGCTCCGCGGGAAGCCTGCTTCTCCCTCTCCCACTTCCCCTGCTTGTGTTCCTGCTCTCGCTGTCTCTCTCTCTGTCAAATAAATAAATAAAATCTTTAAAAAAAAAAAAGAATCATTCTTCTTAGTTATCATTTAAAATTCCTGGGTGGCTCAGTCAGTTAAATGTCTGCCTTCAGCTTGGGTCATGATCTCACGGTCCTGGGATGGAGCCAGCACAGGGCTCCCTACTCAGCGGGGAGTCTGCTTCTCCCTCTGCCTCTGCCACTCCTGCTTGTGCTCTCTGTCTCTCTCTCTCTCAAATAAATAAATAAAATCTTTAAAAAAATAAATAAAAATGAAATAAAATAAAATTTGAAATTATACTTCTTTCCACAGAACCCAAAAGCAGCTACTAATTATTTCCCAATTCATTTAAAAGTCTTGATCTTTCTTTCAATATCACTGATATTTACCTAACTGACTGTTCTGTATCCCCTATAACTGTCAACTTCTATTTTCCCCAAACTGACCTGCCATCAACTCCCTTCATTATATTTGCTTCACTTCTGAGCTATCACTAAAGCCAATGTCCCCGCTAGGAATGCCCTTTTCACTTTTTTCATCTAAATTAGATAATCTTTTTCATTTAACTCACTTAACTTCTACACTCTCTTAAAGCCTTTCTAAGGAAACCCAGATACATTAGAGCAATCTGCCGCCTTTAAATCACTCGAATGTTTTATTTTTCCATTTCGGATCACAACATCCTCAATATCCTTATAATAAAGCAATGAAAGTTTACTAGGTAGGTACCTAGTACAAGGAAAGATCATGAAATCTTTCTGTGAGGAACACAAGGAAACACAAAGACTAGTATCAGACCAAAGACTTTGCAACTGCAGCTGTTTATTAAATGCTGGTTTGTGGGCTGCTAAAGTTCCCAAGGACACAGCTGTCAAGTACATTTCTTCTGGATGAGAAATAATAAGAGTACCATAAATCCTGGTACTTTTTAGAGGAAAGTAAGGAACAGAAAGAAATGACTCCTCAGAACCACATGAGAAGCTTTTCCAGACTAGATTTACCCAGTCCTGCTCCCTACCTACAGTAACAGAACAGAGTAGACAGGGGATGATGCAGGTATCACAGCATGCAGAAGCTCCCAGGTAAGTCCAACAATATCTCACACTTTTGGACTCACTGGCCTACTTACTAAATTATTTAAACATGACATATTATTTTTGATCATTTACAAATCTTTTGAATAGGTCTGAAATTTATTTTACTATTCAAAGTCAAACCTCTAAGAATTGAATTTTAAAAAAATCCAGTAGTGTGCATTTCAGAACTCAATCACTGCTGAGAATTTTGGGCACAGTGAAATAAATGAAATGCATCTGCCATTATCACTTTATCTGTTGCTATAAAATAAAGCCATTTCCTAATAGTCAAAAACAAAATTACCTGTAGCATTAAGACTACTGTTTTCACCACATTCCACTGTGATTTTCTGCCATCCACAATCACGGTAAATCCTCTAGCCTTACACTTTTCACTGAAACAAACAAACAAAATATAAAGTATTAAAACAGGCTTCATACTTTATTCTTTATAATCCTAAATAAAGTCTAAAGCTTAATCATATATGGAGCAGCATTAATCTCACTTGGTTTGGTTTACACTGTCATTAATAAAATTCTTCAGGGTATCCTTTCAGTTTCTTCAAGAAATTTGATTTTTCTCATTTTAGGAAGCATTGACAATTTACAAACTAATTTGGCAAGAAAATTACTCTAAAGGTACAGGAAGTCAATGTCTTAAAAAGAGAAGAAATTAGAGCAACATTCAGTCTCAAGAACCTTTCAATTTCTTCATTTATAAAATGGGATTCTTGTGAAGTATGAGTGAAGTATGTAACTAATGACTGCCAAATGCATACATACTTCTTGCCTCTCCTTCCTGCCAGAAGTAGAAGTGATAGTTTAAAACAGGTAGAAAATAGGGGCGCCTGGGTGGCTCAGTTGGTTAGACATCTGCCTTCGGCTCAGGTCATGATCCCAGGGTCCTGGGATCGAGCTCCCCAATGGGCTCTCTGTTCAGTGGTGAGTCTGCTTCTCCCTCTCCCTCTGTGATCTCTCTCACTTTCACTCTCTCTCAAATAAATAAAATCTTAAAAAAAAAAAAAAAGACAGGTAGAAAATACAGTAAGCTATTACTAAACCTTTGGAAATGGATTTCTTGGGTGTTCTTTTGGGAAAATTTAATGAAATGAGATAGTACTTGGTCTACCTAGTCATTGAAAACTTGAATACACCATGTCTGAACATACACCCCCCTCACCTTTGCATTCTCGGTTCCTTGACCAGCAAATATTATCTTGAGTGTTAGAATATGTTATTACTACATATTACATTCAATTATTCAAATATTAACTAAACACTTCCCAGAAGCCTACCCTAGTAAAATACAACAACTACACTAAAAACTCCATGCTAAGACCAAACTCCATAGCTACTTTATGATTATTATTTTTTTACTTATAAAATGAATTCAAGGCAAGGATCTCAACTGCTCTCTCTCCAATACAGAAGAAACAGCAGTTTTACTTAGCAGAGCAAGGATTTGGTAGTGAAACCTCTCCACACTCAAAGTTCTATCAATCGCATACCTTATAGGAAAGGTAATCAGCAAACCCTTTCCTAAGATTTAAATCCAACAATCCTGGGGATTTTACTAATCCTGACTTACTTCCTCCAAGTTTTCACAACAGCCTCAAGGGGGTTCTTGGAGAAGTGATGTCTAAATCTACCAAGCAACAGTAAAGTTAAAAGTATGAGGATGGTACTGCTAAAGATTTATAAGAACAGGGGCCTCTGTAGGCAGGGACAGAAGCTGAGCTTCCAAAGAAAAAGGGAACTGTTCAAAAGACGAGACAAACTGAAATATATGTTCATACAAAAAACATGCACACAAATGTTCACAGCAGCATAATTCCTAACAGCCAAAAGTAGAAACAACTCAAATGTCCATCAATGATGAACAGAAAAACAAAATATGGTAATCTATATATAATGGAATATTATTCACTATAAAAATGAATGAAGTACTGGGGCACTGGGAGGCTCAGTCAGTTAAGTGTCTGCCTTCAGCTCAGGTCATCTCAGGGTCCTGGGATTGAACCCCATGGCAGGCTCCCTGCTCAGCAGGGAGTCTGCTTCTCCCCCTCCCCCGTGCTCCTGCTGTGGATCTCTCTCTCACATAAATAAATAAAATCTTTTTTTTTCAAACAATCCTTTTTTTTGTTTTTAAAGATTTTGTTTATTTATTTGACAGAGAGAGACAGCGAGAGAGGGAACACAAGCAGGGGGAGTGGGAGAGGGAGAAGCAGGCTCCCCACTGAGCTGGGAGCCCGAGGCGGGCGGGGCTCAATCCCAGGATCCTGGGATCATGACCTGAGCAGAAGGCAGACGCTTAACGAATGAGCCACCCAGGTACCCCATAAATAAAATCTTAAAAAAAAAAGCACTTATACATGCTACAACACGGATAAACCTTGAAAACATTATGCTAAGTGAAAGAAGTCAGAGGCAAAAGCCCACATATTGTATGATTACATTTATATGAAATGTCCGGAATAAACAAATACACAGAGACAGATCATACAGATCAGTAGCTGTTAAGGGCTAGGAGGAGAAGAGAATGGGGAGTGACTGCTAATGAGTGCAGCATTTCGTTTTGGCCCAATGGATGAGAGTGTGTAATGGTCACACAACCTTGTCAATATACTGAAAACCACTATATTGTACAATTAAAAAAGTTGATGTTTAAAGTACGTGAATTATATCTCAATAAAAAAATGCTGAAGTACTCTATTTTTGGATTTTGCATTTTAAAATAAAGGACTAAGTATTCTTTGGTGGGGGGAATGTGAGGCAATACAATGATCACTTTGGATTAGCAAGAGCATATAAAGACTTGCTTGGGGAAGCAAATCTGACATCTAATTGCAAGCTGTAGGATCAGGTAAGGAGGAAATTCTTGGAGTTCCTCACCAACAAGACATCTAGGAAGACCACTATAATTTAGGTAGGATACAAGTAACTTAGGTAAGGATACCTCATCAAAAGAGACCAACCTAGGTAAGGTAGCTGGCTATTGAGTGGTCTTCAGAGAAGTAAAAGCAACTCAGGATCTCTACCAATGTCTTATGGAAATTTGCAGGAGGGGAAGATAAGACACACAGAGTTGTCCAGTAGAAGGCTTCCCTTTCTGGTACTACAGCCAAGAGAAGTGTGCCATCCCCATAATTTGGTACTTTCTTCTCAATTGGCATCTGCTTCTCAGAGATACAGGTTACACGACCATTTTGTTAAAGAAGTTTTACACAAATAACACATTTTTATTTCAAAGCACACTCTAAATTAATCTGTATATTAAGAGAAAGAAAATAATGAAGCTTGCAAATACCATCTGAAGTGATTTAAGGGCATAAAGTACTCTAAATTTATATTTTAGGGGACTTAAAAACAGCCTTAATCATAATTTTCTCACATTTTACTAAGATAATGAAAATACATACAACTGAAAGATACTATTTGAAAACTGCAAGACAAAATGATCTTTCAACTACATGAAACGACTGTTTTACTTTTTTTTACTTCATTCCTATAAGTGGAATGATAGTTTCAAGTATTTTTTTTTAAAGATTTTATTTATTTATTTGACAGAGAGAGAGAACATAAGCGGGGGAGCAGGCAGAGGGAGGACCCTGGGATCTCAGGACCCTGGGATCATGACCTGAGCCAAAGGAAGACGCTTAATCAAGACTGAGCCACCCAGGCACCCCTCAAATATTTTTTAACATACTTAATTTAGAAGCATGTTCTGTCCTTTATAAAAGAGTATGTTAGAGGAGCTGCAGTACTAGTATTAATAAACTCCTATTGCTCTTAACATGTTTATAATTACATCTAAAGAACAATAACAAAAAATCTATTAACACCTATTCTCCTTGTTCCTCCCCCATTAAGAGCCTTTCGAGGGTGAGGTGGCTAAGTTTAAAACTACTATTAAAAGAGGAGAGGCTCCTTAACAAGCCCACTCACTTTGATTAGAAACAGACTGTCAATGGATTTCTCAGGTTCAGTACATTGTAGCTCTTCACTAATTTCTTTGATTATAACTAAGAGTTCCTTCTTTTCCACTCATACAGCTCTGCTTACACTTATATTATGGCAACTAATTTCACTTATACTTTTATTGTAATTACTTGTTTACAATTTATCTTCATTAGATAACATGCTTCCAGGAAGCGAGGATGTTATCTTATTGATATCCTGGCAGCTTTTAGCACAGTGCGTTAAACACAGACGGCCTTTAGAAACGTTAGAGGGAGGGGGGCCTGGGTGGCTCAGTCGTTAAGCGTCCGCCTTCGGCTCAGGTCATGATCCCAGGGTCCTGGGATCGAGCCCCGCATCGGGCTCCCTGCTCCATGGGAAGCCTGCTTCTCCCTCTCCCACTCCCCTTGCTTGGGTTCCCTCTCTCGCTGTGTCTCTCTGTCAAATAAATAAATAAAATCTTAAAAAAAAAAAAAAGAAAGGTTAGATGGTGCACTATACATCACTCCCTAGTCAGAAGGCAACAATGGCTTTCCTTCTCCTTCAGAACTGAAGCCTTTACCATGCCCTCCAGGTCCTCTAAGATCTGATTCTGGTCTCTCTCATCTGACCACAGTTCTAGAACTCTGGACCTCTCTCAAACTGCTCCCACCATACTACCTCCTAGCTGATCTCACAATGTGCTGAGCCTGCTCCTGCCTCAGGGTCTTTGCACTAACTGCTCTCTCTGTCATAAACGCTCTTTCTTAAATGCTCTTCCATTAGATATCGGTACGGCTTGCCCCTCACTTCATTATCTCTGGTAAAACATCATCCTATCATTTTGTAAAATATTGCCACACATGCCATCTCTCTTAACTCTTTTCATGCTTTGTCTTTATAGCATTCATGAACATCTAATATACTGTGAATTTATTTGTAATATTCGTTGGATCATTACGCATAAAGTGCATAATAAGGGTGGGGACTGGGTCTCCTTTGTTCACCCATTTCCTCAGCACCTGGAACAATGAGGAGCTCATTATAGGGTCTCACATATTTACTGAGTGACTAAAGACTTATGATCTTAATGTCTATGTGATTTTTGGCAAATTATTAAACCTCTGCATTCTAATGTTTATTCTGTAACATAAATGAGTTTTTCTACAATCAGGAAGGACTGACTTAAGATCCAAGTTTGAATTTTAAAAAATCAAAACTTGAAAAAAATGGAAAGGTAACTTTTGTAGATTTTGAATCATTACAGAATCAATAGTAATCTAATCAAGATTAATCTGGGCAAGTACTTGGCATATTTCTAGAAAAAATTTAAGAATGGAGAAGGTGGTTAGCCTAGATGATTGTTAATGTACTTTCCAATCCTGATGATGTTCCATGATTCTACAATTGGATGATCAACAAGTTCCCTTTAAGCTAGAAAATACTGATTTTAAATACA